CGTCGAGTGGTCGGAGGCTACCGGCTGAGAGGGCACGAGCGGGATTAGGAGCCTGGACGGAGGCAGGAGCAGACGGGCCCTAGCAAACAGCCCTGCCCGACTGCTGCGGGATGAAGCCGCCGACAGCAGTCACTAAACTGGGGCACCGAGGGGGAGCAGGGAGCACCCAGAGCCTGGGCCTGGGCTGTTTTTTAGGCCATGGGCACATTCATGGGCCTAATTTAGCAATATGCAGCTGCAGGGAGGTGGGAGGGGTTGGCACCAGCACACCTGGGCTCTCTTCCTGATTTGCTCTTAGCCCACGTGCTTTTTCCTTCTGGCTAGGCCTCATTTTCTGCCTTAACTGCTCTCTCCTCGCAGGGAGAATGGGGTTTTACTGCCTGTTTCATTTAAGCAGTGAGCCGGGGAGAAGAGGGAAGGCGCACACCAGCCTGGTAACAGCGCGCAGGGCTGCTCCGTGAGCGCAACCCCTATGAGACATCAGAGAATCCAAGCTGGCGAGGCCTGTGGGAACGAGCCCCAGGGAAGTGCTGATGAAGGGTGGCCAGGGCAGGTGAGCGCTGATCAACCAAGAGATTGCTCCTGCCCCCAGCTCTGGGCCGTCAAGCGGGATGGGGACAGAGTCCTGGCACGTCCACCCCGCGTCTGTCAATCGTTAACTCGCGCGCGGCCAGCGGTGCCCTCCCAGGGCCCAAGTTCACTCCCAGGCTCGATTCAACCTTCCCTCAACCCCTTCCCTATGGCCTCAGCCACTTCCACCCCTCTGTGCACACAGCCAACCTTCACCCCGCAGCAAAACCCTTCGCAGCCACCCGTTGGCTCCGACACCTCCGGCAACACCTGCGGCTGGGCAGCACCCGGCACCCCACGGGGCCGCCGGAGGTGGCTGGTCCAGGGCCCCATCCTCTCCGCCTTGCTGGGGCTGTGGTGCTCCTGCTGGGATGCCCGAGGGTTTCTCATGTGGTCATGGCTGGGCCTGATCCAGACCCTCCTGGCACCAGAAAAAATAGAGGAAGGGGAAAAAGGGAGAGGAAAGAAAATCAAAGGGAGAGGAGCAGCCCTCCCTTCCCGGCTATACAGGAGTCATGAAAGCTGAGGACAGGGAGGCGAGGGCAGGAGGTGGCAGGGTGGGTGGCTCGTCCTCTGGGCAGCCCTGCAGGGTGGGCACGGGGCCAGGCGGCGCCAAGCTCACGCTCCTCCAGCCATATCACAGCGGCGGGGGGGGGCTGCGAGGTGGGGACGGACGGGGAGGCTGCGTCATGACGGGGCCAGCACAGGCAGATGCAGGAGGTGAGTTGCCCAGCCCAGGTTTGAGGGGTCCAGGAATAAAGTGCCCATCTGATCATCTGTCCACATGAAGAATTTGTAGCCTTTCCCAAAATTCCTTGGTTTAACCCCAATCTGAGCGTAAGCCAAAGAACAGCCCCTTGTAACCTCCCCAGCAAGGCCTGATCCAGCCTGATCGCAGCCCCGACAGGCTGGTCCTTGCAGAGAAGGGGAGAAGCGGGGCCCTTGCTGCCTGGCTTTGCAGAGCATCCCCAGAGCAGTGCCGTGGGAGCATCCGCTGGTGTTTTGCCCATCACACGCAGCGGAGCCCATGCATTGAGCTAACCCAAGAGATGCAGCACCCTGGGGTTACGCAGGAGCTGGGTGCTGCCCTTGCTGCAGGGAGCCAGCCCCTTTCAAACACCCCCCACCTCACAGCTGATAGCTCTGTCCCCCTCCTCTGCACTGACAAATTAACCAGCATCAGCTGGGGAAATCAGGGAAATGCTCACAGCAGCCGATCTTGGTCTCCCCATCGCTGCTCCGACGCTGTCCCCAGTCTCCTTGGGGCCTGTATCACATCACAGCCTGGGCAGGGAATGAAAGATCCTGCATGCTGTGGGCTGAGCAGGGAAGGGTTAAATCCACACACACACAGACACAGACACAGACACAGACACACACACACACACACACACACACACACACACACACACATACATGCGCGCGCGCGCACACACACACGCACACGCGGCAAGGGGGGACCAGCCTGGCTGTGGCCTCATTCTGGCTGGGAAGGCGACAACGCCACCGGGCCTGTCACCTAGCAGCTCTCCGCTGCCATCGTGCTCCTTCTCGGGCTTTATCTGCCTGCCTGCGCCCTTCCTCTTCCTCCTCCTCCCTTCCTCCTTCTCCTCTTCCTCTGCTCCCTCCTGGGGAAGAAGCGTGAGGAGCCCTGCAGACGCAAAGGTAATGGTGATGGAGGGGGGCTGGGGGGAGGGTCCTGGGGGGCTACACCGCTTTATTGTCTGCAAAGGAGGGGATGGAAAGGGGGATGGGGAAAGTGGGGTGAGAGATGGGGAGGGGGGGACCCGGTGGGGTTGCCGGGGAAACAGG